AGTAACTTTCCACAGGAAACATTCCTTGAAGGTAGACTGTATTACTCTTCTGTATCGCCACCCACTGCCCAGTTGCTTATAATGCCTCCATAAAAAGGAATGCACATTCCCTCCCCACTGATGTTGAGCTTGGTCACAAGACTCACTTTGACCAATAAAGCAGCAGAGAAAGCTTAAGAAGGTCATCATGGTTTCCTTTAGCCCTTTCTGCCACTATAAAAGCACACTGCAGACAAGGACTGTACCTTCAGCCTAGGTTTTGGAATGAGAAAAAAATGTATCATTCCTATTTTTCGCTGTTTTCCCTTTTCCCAAATGTAGTCACAAGACAACCTTAATTACATGTGGCTCACATTTTATTTCTACTGTACTGCACTATAAACCTAAGACTTACATCTCAGAATGAATGGCTTCTGAAAAATAACTCAAAAATGTTGATTAGTCATCCAAATAAATTTCTTAAGTCTAAAACTGAAATCCCAGGCCTCCCAGGAGGCACAGCGGGTTGAGCACAGTGCTGTGTAGCTGTCCACAAGCCTCTGCGGCACAGGTTCGATTCCTGGCCGGCCAGGGAGAAACCCACAAGGCACAGCAGACCTCTCCTGCCTCGCCCGCTGCTCCCCTCAGCAGCGTCTTCAGTCCATCTACCTGTTCTGCTCCCCGCTCTGTCTCTGGTGAATTCTCTCACCCTCCCATGCCTCTGACTGTACCCCAGCTCTTGTATAAATAAATCTGTTTAAAAAAAAAAACTGACTTTAAAATTGAAATCCCTAAAAACCCCTATGATTGGATATTTTTTAAGTTTATATAACTCTATTCTGGTTATTACCTTAATTTATATTAGGAGAAAGCAAGAGGGGAAAAAAATGGGAAAAAAATGGGGAAAAAGCCCATTAGGAGAATATCAAGTCAGCTATCTCTTAAATTCTATTTCCGATTTTAGGTTACCAAAATAAGTCACTCACTCTCAAATAACAACTCAGAGCAAATGCCAGTTGAGCCTTTTTTTTATGTCCCAGGGACTGCTGCACATATAATTACAGATAAAATGTCAAAGCAATTCTCCAAAGGTTATGTAAGCTATAAATGATAAAATATTTTCAAATTCTAGACTATCTCATTATGCATCTACCTTTTCAGGAGTTCAAGAGTTACTTCCGTACTATAACATGCTCCATTTTTTGTTTCCGCTAGCTTTATAAAGATTGTTTCATAAAGCACCTGACAGCTTGCAAGAAAGTGGTCCAGAAAAGTTTGGAGGTTAAACATAACTATAACCTTACCAGTTCTAAATGAAATGACAAAGTGCCAACTCAAGATTTGTGTTTTCTCCTATTTTTTCTCATTAGACTAGTTTGCATCAAGCTAAAAACAACTCTAATCTGGTATACCTTGTTACTTTAAAAAAAAACTGAATTACAAAAATCTACATAAGGGGGACTCCCTGGTGGCGCAGGGGTTAAAGACATAGCGCTACCAAGCTATGGCCAGCCATTGCAGAATGGGACCGATCCTGCCCAGTCAGGGAGCTAACCCAGATGCAGAAGACCTCTCCTGTCTCAGCAGACCTCTCCTGTCTCACCTGCTGCTCCCCTCAGCAGTGTATTTCAGTACATCCTGCTGTTGCTCCCCACTCTCTCTGGTGAATCCTCTTACCCCCCACCCCAAACCTTTGGCTTACAACCCAGTTCTTGTATGCATAAATAAACCTTAAAAAAAAAAAAAAAAAACTACGTAAGGACTCAGTATCCCAACTGTCCATAAATAAAATCCTGTTTTGCAACTACAACTCTTACCACAAAACGCTCCAGTCTCTGCCTACAGCCAATGTGTATATTTTCATAGCCCCTCTTCTTTACACCATATACTGAAGCTACAAAAGTTATGAACTAGTTGTTTCTAACCTTTAGAAACTAGGTTAAAGCAAGTTAACAAAAATATTAATCTGTAGCTGGTTGCTTGCAGCTTCAGTTCCTCCTTAAGACCCATTTTGACTTAAAAAGAGTCAGTAGATCAACCTATTGTCAAATAATCACATCAAGAATTGATTCTGGAGCCTCCTAGGTGGCGCAAGGGGTTAAGACGCAACCTATGAAGCTGTCTGCAGCCACTGCAGCACGAGTTCAATCCCCAGCCAGGGAGCTACCCACATGGCACAACAGACCTCTCCTGTCTCACCCGCTGCTCCCCTCAGCAGTGTACTTCAGCCAGTCCACCTGTTCTGTTCCCCACTCTGTCTCTGGTGAATCCTCTCACCCCCCACACCTCGGGCCTGTACCCCAGTTCTTGTATGCATAAATAAATAAATCTTTAAAAAAAACTGATTCTGACAGTTAATTTTTCCAACTAAGCTCTACAGTCCTACCCTAGAAAGCAATGTACCATAGATTCAATAAACATCATCAATATATAAGACCTCATTAAATGTGGACATTATTCACTTCTAAGTTTAATGAAGATGTACAATAATGCCTTCAGGAATATACCAAAACTCACAGCTTTTAAGTCAATAAAATATCATACAAATTTGCTGTACAATCAAAAGGCACTGGGAGAAAATTTAAAGTATCAAATTCTATTAAAAACATAATTGCAAATATAAATTAAGAACTGGAAATAGCAACACTTCAAAATGCAGCTGTCACCCAACTCAAGCTTGTTCTTTTCTATGAAATCACTAATAGCCTAATAAAGAAACATACCAACCTACCAACCACATAGTGCTTAAAAACCATTCTCTATCCTCCAAGTGCTTCCACTTGCAGAAATTCCCAAAGGAGCAATCCCCCACCCCCAATGTAACACAATTTAAGAGCTACTTTGTTAAAAGGATTCTAAATACTAATACGGTAAATTTTAAAATGAATTTCTATGAAATACACATTTACTAGAACCTCTCAGACTTCAGTTTTCAACCGTTATCAAGAGAAATTTCTCGGGCCTCTCTGGTGGCACAAGGGGTTAAGATGCAACCCATGAAGCTATCCCCAGCCAGGGAGCTACCCACATGGTGCAGAAGACCTCTCCTGATTCACCTGCTGCTCCCCTCAGCAGTGTATTTCAGTCAGTCTGCCTGTTCTGCTCCCGGCTATCTCTCTGGTGAATCCTCTCAGCCCCCACACCTCTGGCCTATATGCTCTTGTATGCATAAATAAATATATCTTTTAAAAAAAGATAGAGAAATTTCTCCTATATTTCATGACCTCAGTAAATGATATGAAAGTCTATATTGCCAGTTCTTAAAAATTAGCCATCTAATGCCATTTTTATAGGGCTCAGTACCTATTACAGAACTAGAACTTTCCTCTATCCCACTAGAATTAAATCTGAAAAATAACATCTGATATTAGTGTGTAAGTAACCATCAACGGCTCAAAAAATGACATTTGAATGACATTTTAAAAGGATGAGATTCCCACATGCAATTTTTTACTCCATTTATGTTTCTGGAATGTTACTTAAAAAAAAAAAGTATTGCACCTATAGACTAATACTGTATTTAGAAGAGGGAGATGACTTCTCCAAAGCATTTAAAAAATCCTAACAGAACAAGAACCAGAACACCACCCTTACCCTCTATTAAATGCGCCTTATATGACAAACTGAAACAAAAAGTGGGCCAGCATTCAAGTGAAGAGTAGCGGCAGTCCACGTGCCTTTCCAGATTTTACTTACAGGGATCAGGTAGAAGAGCACTACATTCTACTCCAGTCTCTCAACATTTACAGGCTGTGACCTTTAACAAGTCAACCTCAACGCTCTGGGCCCACTCGACAAAAGAGGCAGAAAACTCCAACTCTCCAAGATCTATTTCAGTTTCAAGATGCTTAGTTATATTTCTTCAAGAGCCTTCCTAAAGCATGAACTCACGTTCCAGGTACCTTCGTATATAAACACCCAACCATCCACACAATTGCAAACTAGAATGAGGTTATCCTACAAAGTACTAAAGAGAGAAAGAGAAATGAAATCAAGAGAGATCACTCACATGGGTACTTCCTCCTATACGGAAGCAAGCAAGCAGAAACATTAAGAAATCTAGTCCTTCCAACGGGATGACCTGATAAGACGAATTTGTCAGCCTTTACCCTTGAAGCTTTCTGTACAGTAAAGAAAGTCTGAATCAGAATCAACTTTTCAACATTGAAGCTTCAAGAGGACTCATCTGACATCCATTAAAAAAAGTAAATAAAAGCCGTACAACTTTTAACTGAAAGACTAAGCTCGTGCAAAAACCCTTAATGATTAAAAGGATGCTTCTTAAAACATCCGCCTCGTGCTCCGAAAGCACAGCATAAAAACCAAGGGTGTAATGGTATTTTTAAAATGTATTAACAAATATCAATCTCCTTCTAAAATCGTCGTAAATTTCCAACCTGTGAAGAAGAGGCATCAGCTTCTCCCAGGTATCTCTTCCCCCTTCCTTTTCACTAAGTCTGGAAATTCATTCTTGGTTTTGTGCCACTCAATCCTGTCAGTGGATAGCCAGCCTCAAGTCCGTGCCCGAGAAGAAAACCACCATTGCCCCCGCAGAGATTCGGGGAAAACGCAGTGAGACTTGTACAAGCCGGATCACGAGGCCGCGGGGGTACAATTTCAAAAACTTAAGTTAAAAGCTTCAATTAAAATAAATAAATAAATAAATAAATAAGCAGCTGCCAAGGAACTCCCTGCTCCCCCTGCTACTTTCGGGCCTAAGCGACCGCGGGAGGTGGTTCGCTCCCCGCCGGCGAGGCCCGGGGACAAAGCGCGGCGCAGGGGAAAGGATGCAGGACGCAGGGCTTCGGGCTGGCCTTAGCGGGACCGGCTCGCGCCCCCGCCCGCCCCCGGAACGGCGAGCGCCGACTAGGGCTCGGGCTCCGCGTCCAGGCCCCGCGGCGATTCGGCGCGCTGACAGCTGCCACCGGCGCCGACTGCGCGGCCCGCCCGGCCCGGAAAGCCCCCGGCCCTCCCCGCCCCACCCCGCGGGCGGCCAGAACGGCGCGGCTGGAAAAGGATACTCCCGGGTGCGGAAGGCCTCCTGAGTGTGTGCGATGGTGAAGAGCGGCTCCTCGCCGGGAAGCGGCTTCACCAGCGGGAAGGGCTTGCGGCCCAGCAGCGGCGCCATCGCGGCGGCAGTGGCGCGGCGGGGCGGGCGGCGGCTCCTCGGCGAGCCCGCGGCGCCACACTAGGCCCAGCGGCCCGGAGCGAGCGCCTGGCTCCCGGGGTGGGTGGGGGAGGGGAGGGGTGAGAGGGCGGCGCGAACTCGGCTCCCTCACTGCCGGCGCGGCCGCGAGAGCGCCATGGAGCCGGACGCAAGGACGCAGAACTCCCACGCACACGGCCGCGCCGCCCGGCAGTCTCCCGCCGACCTTCGCCACGGGTCCCCGCGTCCGGCAGTCACGACTCCTTCTCAGCTGCACCGGAGGAAATTATTGAAAAATGGCGGGAGATTCCCCTCCTCCCCCCCACCCGGCCGACGCGCACACTAACTTGCTCCCCTGTGGCGCCGGTGGAGAAAGCGCCAATAGGCGGAGAGCTGGTCAGCGCTCGCAGCCTATTGGCTTAGAGGAGCTGCCGCTCTGTGCTTGGGTCCGGCCCCCTTCCCCTGCCGCGTAGTTGGGTTGCAGCGCACTAGAGGGCAGTATGAAGAGGTGAAAGGTCACGTTATGTAAGCGCCGGTGACAGGCGTGCGGGCCTCCAACCGCGGAGTTGAAAGTGGGGGACAGCGGGGGACCAAAAGGCTGGGAATTCAAGGAGGTCAGGACTGAGAAGCCCCCTAACATAGACAGACACTGCGCCATCTGTCACCGAGGGCGACACCGACATCCGGGCACCACTGTCCGTGCGGTGCGCCGGAGGGGGAGGGGGAGCGCGCGGCCAGGGGCTTTGTCTTTCCACTTGTGCGCCGCCCCTTTCTTAAAGGCGTCGCGCTCTGCCACGCCCGGGAGTGCGCGGTGGGGGCAGATGGGAGGAATGTTTGGCGGGAAGTAACCCCAAGATCTTGCCCAAGCAAAGATTTTTTTTTCTACTGAAAGCTAATTTGAGTCCCAGCCTTGCTCACCCCAGAGTTAACTTATTCTGGACGAAAGTGTGGTTGAGGGGTGAATGTTAGTACGATGCTTGTTCCTAGAGGGGTGCTGCAAAGGATAACGTAGAAGATTCTTTGGAAAATGTATTAAAGGACCTGTGTAGTAAAAATACATCCATCCATTCAAATAGTGTTAACACCTGCGATACTCTGGGCCCTATGCTGAGTACTGGGGGGGGGGGGGGGCGGAGAAAGACCCAGATTGCCCTGTAAAACTAAGACAAATAATTACAGCTTTGTGTGATGAATGTTGTACAAAGCGCATACAATAACTGTGCCGGGGAAATGAGAACATTTGAGTTGTTTCTCCAAGCAAATTATATCCACGTAAATAAAAAAAAAAAAAAGTTTGCCTATCCAGTACAATTAGAAATACACTCAATTCTCTCCCAACTAAATTGGCTCCAGATCTTCTAAATATCCCTTTCCAGCCTGGGCTAGACTGTTATGTGTCACTAACTGCCAATGCCAGACCCTTTTCTCCTTTTTCTTCTCAAGGGTTACCTCCAGTAAAAATAAAAGTATATTTCTGCTAAGTTCTGGGTCAGACACCTCTCTGAAACCTCTCTGATCACCTAGCAAAGATGGGAGCTCATGTTGCTTCAGTAGCCATTTTCTTCCAAGAGGATTAGGAGAAACCTAGGGGTGTGAAACCTGGTGACTGAAAAGATCAAGAAGCACTTCACTAAGAGAAATGAGGGGTGAACATATAGACAGAGGGAGCAATGGGTAGACTTGGTAAATTCAGGACAATGGGTCTAAATCAAATGGGTTTTGAGGCAGAAAGTATCAAGAGATGAGGGTGGCAAAGGAAGTGATCATTGTGGCATGTGATGGTTTAATTGGAGTGACCACTTAGAAGAGAATTGCAGTAAGCAATTTGTGGCAGTGATACCCAGGGTCTCAAATGCAACAAAATCAGTAGAGACAGGTTGGATAGATCTGAGAGGCCCAGACTAGGTGACTCATGACAAACCTGTCAGCAGACTACATACAGAGTGAGTTCTCCAAAAACAGTAAGGAACAAAATTTGAGAAATTTTTGATGTTTGAGAAAGGCCTGGTGGTGCAAGTGGTTAAGCATCGCACTATAAAGCAATCCTGAGCTTCTGCAGCACGAGTTCAATCCCCAGTCAGCCAGGGAGCAACCCACATGGCGCAGCAGACCTCTCCTGATTCGCCAGCGGCTTCCCTCAGCAGTGTAGTTGGGTCAATCTGCCTGTTCTGTCCCCCACTCTGTCTCTGGTGAATCCTCTCACCGCCCCCCCATCTCTGGCCTGTACCCCAGCTCTTGTATGCATAAATAAATAAATCTTTAAAAAAAAAAAAAAGGCATTTAATTGCACATGAGAATGGGCAGCATAATTTCAGTTCTCAGGGCTGCTATGAGCTGGAATATGCCATGGTGTTGGTGAAGCAGAGATCTAAAATAGGAAAATCAATGATAGTCTCAATTTCAGCCACAAGAATCGGTGGTACCCAGGAGAGCCAACCAGAGCACAATTGGAAATTCTAAAGAGGGAAGTGGAAGCTGGAGGTGGAGCTTTGTGACCACAGCCTATCAGCTAGAACCCCAGAAAAGAATCTGATGAGGGCCTCCCATAATCAAAAACAGTTGCCTTACAGAGATAGAATTATGGTTAGTTTTATATTTTTCAATTCATTTCCTTACAGTGATTACATATTAGTTTTACAATATAAAAAGTAATCAATTTTAGTGTTTAGTGTGACTTTTGTTTGATGGATGTCTTCCATTTCTATGACTCAAATTTATAATGAAACTGATTAACGAAAGAACTTAACACCTTGTTCTGAAGATGTAAAAACAAAAAGGGAGGGGGAACTAAGTTAATGTAAGTTAATACTGCAACTATCAGTTTCCTGCTCTAATACTTTCATTGACTCCTTTTGCTGAAAAACCTATTTGCGTTTAATCTTCTACTCCAGTCTTAAAGCTCCTAACTCCTAGTAAGGAACCAAATGGACCATTTCTACTTAATTCCAGTATTCACTGGTTATTCCTACCCACCCCCAAAATGTACTTTTTTTATGTATCTGAATACCCACTCTTTTCCTTAATGCCTTTTCCAAATTGTTCCAACCTACATCCTCTTTCATTGGAATTCTCAAAGACCTTTTTAAATCATAATTTTAACAAAATTTGTTATTCAATTTCTCTCCCAACATTGTAACATTATTATAAAATAATAAAAGAGATTAAAATGTGTAGTTTCTAGTATCTACACCAGACCCACTGCTTGGTCATCTGTGGCTGCCTACCTGCCGGAATAACACTGTCTGCAAATCCAAAGCACATTTCCCTATGCTGCTCACCCATGGGTAGTTACATTTCTATAGCTTGGTGAGCAGTACCTATTTATTTAGGTCATCTGTGTCTTGTGGCCCTGTGCCCTACCACTCACCCGGCCATCGTGGCTGCAGACACAACCCTTACTTCAACAGTTCCAGCTTTGGGTTGGTCTTCTCCTGCCTGTTGGTTCCTCAAATTCAAACGTCCCAAAACCAGTTTACTATTTCCTTCCATCCATCATCTGCTCTGTCTGGGTGTTTTTTGTTTCTATTTATGACCTTACCTACTCCCTTTCCCTGCCCCCCCAACCCCGCAGGCTCAGCTTTGACTTCTCTTGAGCTCTGCAGCTATAGGATCAATTAGATAACATCAATTTGCCTACCTGAAAATCTTGAGCTGTTTCCTCTTCCTGACATCCCACAGTATTCTACTTCAGGCCTTTATTATTTCTGGCCAAATAAAGATTTACTATGCATACAAGAACGGCGGTGTAGGCCAGAGGTGAGGGGGTGGTGGTGAGAGGATTCACCAGGGACAGAGTGGGGAGCAGAACAGGCAGATCTATTAAAATACACTGCTGAGGGGAGCAGCAGACAAGACAGGAGAGGTCTGCTGCGCCATGTGGGTTAGCTTCCAGGCTGGAGATCGAACTCATGCTGCAGTGGCTGGTGATGGCTTGATAGTACTGAGACTTTAACCCCCACACCACCAGGGAGGCCCTAATGACTTTCTTCTTTTAAAATGTTTTAAACTACATTAAAATCACATATATTTTCATGGTAAAATGAACACAGTCCAAAAAAGGGAACATAAAAATGGCCTATTAAGAAACAATAGTTTTACCCCAAAAAAAAACCTACTACACCTTTCCATCTACTTCCTGCTCCAAGCAACAATTTCAATTTAAGGTAGTTCCACTGGTATTTACCTCCTTATTTCTAAATAACATATATAGTTTCAGTTTTTCAGTTTTATTAGCTGTTGACTTCCTTCAATGAGAGATGAGGACTTAACCCTCTTACATTCCCCCAAAGAACATATACAAGCATATTCCCCAAAATGATTGAATTGCAGTTAATCAGTATTCAGTGTCTAAATTGTTTATATATTAATCTCAGATGATCCACCTGGTAAACCAATTACAATTCCTTTCTTAATAACTCATGTTCATATGTGTTGGGCCTACCACTGTCAAGAGGAAATTTACAAGTTATTTGTGAGTAATCCTAACCCTTACCCCAGCAAGATTTGGGGATGATGGTGGAGTGCTGCCTAGAATTTTTTTTTTTTTAAATTTATTTATTTATACAAGCATTGGGTACAGTCAGAAGCGCGGGAGGGTGAGAGAATTCACCAGACCCAGAGCAGGGAGCAGAACAGGCAGAGTGTCGAAGTACACTGCTGAGGGGAGCAGCGGGCAGCAGGAGAGGTCTTCGCACCACGTGGGACCCTCGCCGGCGGCCCGGGATCAAACCAGCGCTTCAGAGGCTGCGGGCAGCTTCGCAACCCAGAGCTCAACCGCTGCACCACCAGGAAGGCCCTACAGAGAATTTCTTAGGCGAATATTAACGAAGTGGTGCCAACATGTCAGTCAACGAAAGAGAATGGTTTCTGCTATGGCTTCTGCATCATGCCGTATTCCATGCAGACCTCCATGCAGAGGCCCAGCGCCCTTCCTCGTTCCTCAACCTCCAGGGGCAGTGTGTCTGCACTCCCAGTTCAGCACCTGGTCATGAAGTAATCCCGAATGCCAACTGCCCTCTCCCCTTATTAGTTTTCTCTCCAGCTCACTTTATGATACTGGATTTCAAATTGTTTTTCCATGGGCCTCCCTGGTGGCAGACGGGTTGTTTCAGCACTGTGAAGCTATCCACATCCTCTGCAGCAGGAGTTCAATCCCCCGGATTCCTGGCCAGCCAGGGAGCTACCCACATGGTGCAGCAGACCTCTCCTGTCTCACCGGCTGTGCCCCTCAGCAGTGTATTTCAGTAGATCTGCCTGTTCTGCTCCCCACTGTCTCTGGTGAATCCTTTCACACACACCCCGCCCCCCACACCTCTGGCCTGTACCTCAGTTCTTGTATAAATTTTTTTAAAAGTTAAAAAATATATATTTTAAAAAACCCACATAATTTTTGTACCATATGCAATAATCCAGGTATCTGAGACTTTCTTTTTTTTAAAGATTGATTTATTAATATATACAAGAACAGGGGTACAGGCCAGAGTTGTGGGGGGTGAGAGGGTTCACCAGAGACAGAGTGGGGAGCAGAACTGGGGAATGACTGAAATACACTGCTGAGGCAAGGCAGGAGAGGTCTGCTGTGCCATGTGGGTCACCTCCCTGGCCAGGGATCCAACTGCTGCAGTGGCTGCGGCGAGCTTCATAGGTTGCGTCTTAACACCTTGCGCCACAAGGGAGGCCCTCAGACTTTCACTTGACAACTTAGTTATACATGCAATGTTAGATTTTTTTTTTTTTAATATGGAACATTTCATGAATTGTGTGTCATCTTTGAGCAGGAGCCATGCTAATCTTCTCTGTATTGTTCCAATTTTAATATACGTGCTGCCCAAACGAGCACTGTTAGATATTTAAGAAAAAACAAAGTAGGGATCATAAGAAATGGCAACAGAACTCAGATTCAAGTCTTATCCATGACCTCTGGAACCCCTAAGAAAAATGAATCTTTTTAGGGAATACTGAAATGAAATTTTTTTAAAATTTATTTTGTTAATTTTTGCATGTTTGATTTCTCTCCCGAGGTGTAAGCCCCATAAAATTCCCACCACCAAATCACTCATGAACCGTCACCAGTCTCTTGTGCTCTTCTCTTGTTCTGACCCCTCTCTCCGCCCCTCCCCTGCTATCAATATATGTCTTGGATTTATAGTTTGCCTGCTAGTTTTGTCTTTTTCTTCTGACCCCTTGTTTGGTGTCCCGATATTCCTCATATAAGTGAAACCATTTGGTATTTTTCCCTTTCCTTCTGACTTACAAAATGCAATTCTTGAACATGTTCAATGTAGATTTCTTTTCAACTATGACCCTACTTGCTCTAGGAATGAGGAGCAAAAAAGAACTCAAGTAAAGACAGCAGATTCGTGACTACCAGTCTTGGAAGAGAGACAAATGGGAAGTGACTGCTTAATAGACACAAGGACGCCACTTGGGGTAATGAAAAAGGCTGGCACTAGATAAGTGGGGATGATGGCACAATGTCACAATTGTACTAAGTGCCACTGAGCCATATACTCTGAATGGGTTGAAGTCTAAATCTTACGTGTATTTTACCATACTAAACTCATGAACACCTCCTAAGGACCTCAGGGTAAGGAAAACATCCACTGGTTGTGTTTAGTGTATACAGGAACATAAGTATAATTTGAATTCATGACAACTTCAAAGGGAGTCTCCAAATAATTTTCTTCAGTAAGCCACTGTGGGAGAGTAAGATAATTGACAGGCCCAGCCCACTGTGACTTCACAAGCACTCAGTCACCACCACCCCCAACCTCAGCCCCCTCAATCTGTAAGAATGAAGCATTCAGATTACCACAGGACATATTTCAAATAGTTTAATTTTAAAAATATTCTATTCAGTGCTAAAATATGTCTTCACTCACTGTTGCCCATTTCCATTTTCTTAAACTTTTTGAAACAAAAAATAAAATCACAAAGTTCAATTAAACATGCAGATTTCAAAGAAAAGTAAACTTTCTAGAAAGTCTGAGCTGAAGGAGTACTGTGGGCAATGGGTACTGTCCTCAAATTCTTGCTGGGGCAGCGTTTGTGGCAGAAGGGAACTGAGGCGGGGGTGCTGGAATGAAAGGTACAGGTGAAAATGGGGAAAGCTGCGTATGTGTGTATGTGTGTGTTGGAAGGGAATGGTTATGGCGGGAAACAAAGGACTGTCACCAGCTAAAAAGCCCACGAGAGGTGGCATAACCTCAGGAATGGGCAGAAGTGCCAAAACAGCAAGAAATCTATATGGACTTTCCTACCCTCATGGGCAGAAAGGCCCATCCCATCCTAGAGGAGGTCCTTCTCCCCTCCAAAGTCTCTACCCACTCCTTCTCCAACAGCAACTGACAGGGCCCTGGCCCTATGGGAAAGGCCATGAATCAATCTACAGTCTCCATTCAAATTCAAGTAACCCTAGGCATGCTCTTCTCCAGAAGGTGCCTTCCACATCTCTTTCCTCTCGTAGAAGCGCCAGCAGCTCAGTCTAGGGATCCTGGAGCAGAGACTGCTACCTGGAGGTGACAGAATGGCTGATAACTCCAGCTGCTTGGGTTGCAAAAAGGACATGAATGCTCCTCTTCTCAGGAGCAAGCAGACACAGGTGTCAAGGATGGGAAGATGATGCTACAGCCTCAAGTCCTACGTCAGCCTTCCAGTCCAGAAGGCCCCTAGGTGCAGACTCTGGACCCCGGTGCTTGCCCTTACCCCAGCAACACAGCACGGCCAGAACCAGAATGCAATAAATAGAGGCAGGGGCCAGGAGGCGAAGAGCACCAAGGCGGTGCTAGCTTTCTGAAGCTGTCTGCGGCACTGCGGCTTGGTCCACACAGACGCGTTTCAGGGGCGGGGCACCTGAGTCTTCCTCTTCCTCAGTAATCTATGAGCAGTCAGAACATGGAATTATAGGCCATCCCTCTGAGCCAGAACTTACCCATCCACCCTAATTATAATCCTAAAGCCCACTTTTAACTTCCTCCAGATGACCAAACTTCTTTCCTTGCCTTACAACCTGAAGATACTGGTTTCCCTTGCTGCCTCTGCACCCTGCTAAGGACATCTGATGCTAGTGAGCCAGTTCACATCAATAAAGTCCTTTTTTTTTTTTTTTCTTAGAAATGGGGAAACTCCTTACCTGTGTCTCTAGTGGAACTGGTTCTTCCTTTGTAAGGGTAGGAGGTTCATCGGCAACTTCTGAGGCAGGCAGGGAAGGCTCTGAAAAAACACCAAGGTCAGCATTACTGCAGGACGTCCTGAGATGGAGATTCCTACCTCTCTCTCCTCCTGGGGGAGCATTTCTATGAGCCATGTGGAGGTCCCTGGAGGAGAAGCTACAATGGCTGGAGAATCAATATATTACTCATAGGATATAATGTGAAGAACATAAACTCTGACATCCAGATCCACCAACTAATATCTATGTGGTCTTGGACAAGCAATGTGAGGTTTCTCCTTCCTCATCAGTAAAGTGGAGATAATAGCTGCTCTCCCACAGGGGTTTTGAGGGAATTATACCCAATGTCAAATATAAAAAGAGCCTTACAGACAGCTAAGCAGTCAATTGTGTTGCTAGTTTTCTTCATTATGTTACAGGGTAAAATACAACACATCTCCCCAAATGCCCCAAGCTGTTAGCAAATGGCCGCAAGACTGCTAGGCCCAGGGATACACTCTCTAAAGAAGAGAAACCTCAAGAGCAAAAGGGAGGGCCCTCCCAAGAGGCTGCCCTGGGTCAAAAGAAACTCACCCTCAAGGATCTCCTGACCCAGTGTAGGGGGCTGGGAGTCATCTGTGCGGAAGTCAGAGGTGTGTGCTGGGCTCAGGGACTCGCTCTGTTGGGGGCTGGGGCTTGAGTTGGTGCTGCTGTCCACCTTGAGCTGATAGACATCAGATACAGAACTCTGGTTGCTGTTTTCATCTGAAAATCAAACATGACAAAGGCAACAGCTGAGGATGGTAATTTTCCTCCAGAATAACTCAGTAGAGAGCCAAGGGCCTTGCATCTCCTTAGGCAGTATGGATACAATCCAGCACAATGATCCCTGCTGCAGACACTCCCTGAATTGAAGAAGACCTTCCTCAGGGCTTCTGTGAACTACAAACTACCAAGTCTACAATGAAGTGTATGTTTCATAGAGTGTATTCTAAGCACCAGATACAGTCAGAATCCTTAAGTTTATGCAGTATTTGTAGTTTAGGAAAGTGGGGAGATGCTATTTAATCCCTTCTTTTTAACCAACCAAATACAAAGTGAATCTGGTATTTTCTCACTGCCCAATGAAAGAGAGAGACATAGCTATGCCTCCCAATCCTTCTCGTATCACAACATGTATAGAAAATGATGCGATCTGTCTGGCACTTAAGGATGTTTGAAGAGGGTGGTAGTGTCTGGAGGTGGTCAATTCAAGCCCTCCAGCTGCCCAGACTCCACCTGCCTCAAGGCTCAAGGGATTACCACTCCAGAAGCTCTGTCTTGAAGGCTAAAAATCACCAACTCATTAAAACCATAGTTAACAACTTCCTCTCCCTTACTTCCAGCAGCAGTCACCTAATCTGATCCATCTCACCCTCTGATAATACCTGTGTTCTTTCATTCCTCTCCTAGTGCCTTAGTTCAGACCTCATTATCCCTGGTCTGGCCTCCTACAACAGTCACCTAACTACCCCCTTTTCAGTCTCAGACATTCCAGCTGTACATTACGACACTGCCAGAGTGATCTAACGTCAGTGGTTCCTCCTTGCCTAAAGGATAAATTTCAAATTCCAGTCCTTATTGGGTCAGATGTTAGATAGCCCTATCGCTATCTACAAAGTCCCTTCAAACTCTAGCTCACTCCCTGCAATTTTTCCCCAAATACCTTAGATTCCATCTGAGCTTGACCCTAACCCAAGAACAACTTCAGGTATAGGCATTGCTGCCCATCTGCTCCTTCTACTGGTATGACTAGCTCTTTCTGGTCTTCTGGGAAAAGTCCCTACACCAGCCAAAAATACAGCCTGAGTACTACATCCTCCCCAGAGCCCTGTGTCCCATGGTCCCCCAGGTGCATATGACTACTCTCTTTTAAGATCCTGCTGTATCTTGTGCACACCTACATTTACTATTTTACACACCAGTTTCCTTTCAATACATTCTCTGTAGGCAGGCTCTGTGGCTTACTGGTCCTTGAAATCTCCAGTGCAGTATATACATATATGACATGGCACACAGTAGGAATTCATTAAATGTTCACTGAAGGAATGAAAAGGATGAGATGGTAACCACACTAAGGAACTGGAGCTTCAGGTCTCCTAGAGATTTATGACAGCTGAACACCCCACCCACAGCTAAAGAGAAAGTTCCTCTTGTATGCTCCATCCTACATTTAATTAATCTTGGTGGGGTTGGGGAAAAGGAGAAGAGGAGCTAACAGCCTGCTCCTGGTGTAATCAGGAAGAGAAAATCATAAGCCCTTTCCAGTTTTTCCTCCTACAAAGACCACTATCTCCTACACTGAAATGGAAGTACCTTTTCATTATGAAAAAGAATAAAGCTCAGTCACTTCTGAGTTTGGGCAAACATTTTTCTCCTGAGCATCAGTCCCCTTCAATAGGGATGACAATAACTGTCTGGTAAGGCTAACAATGAGAAACTGAAGTGGCCATGCTCTGTAAACAGTAACTGCCATGTAGGTGTAAGAAAGGTAATATGGGACTGCAGAGCTGAATCAGGCAGGACGTTTAGTGAAGACTAGCTGAGGAAGCAGAATTTGGACTAACAGTGGCTAGGCAGATGCCTGGTTTTAGGGAGACTATTCTAAGACACTCTCACAAAATACACAGTGTAAAGAAAGAGTTTTTGATCCAGAAAATCAGGACCTAGCAAGGGGTCTGTCACTTACTAGTTAAATGACTTTAGATACCTAATTTCACATCTCTAAGTCTCAGATTCCTTAAATGGAAATACTTGAGGACAGTATTATCTACCTTGCAGGGTAATTTGAAGTTTAAATGAAAAGACTTATGTAAAGTGCCTAGCAAGATATCAGCAAAACTTAGGCACTGAAATGATATACAGAACTATTCTTATTAATGGGTTCATCTAAGTTTTCAATTTCCTGCAAGGAAGAGTAAGGACGCAACTCACCCTGGAATTCAAGAAGGAGAGAGGAATTGGCTGAGGCATCAGAGGGAAAGCCATTAGGTTCCCGGGCTGCTGAACTGTTCGATTTTGACTTTTCTTTCTAGAAAAGGAAAAAAAGAGGAATATGACAGAGCCAAGCAGGAGACTCATAGGAAAGGAGGATACTATCTGAGACCTCCAGAGAGGTCTGGATTAGGTTGGAATAGGAATAATGACAGTGGTTTGAGAATCCAGGATCAAAAGGAGTAACAGAATCCCAGACAAGGTATCCCGAAGCCTCAGTGTCTCTATCTGTAAAATGAACCTGTCTGGCTCTAAAAGCATGAAAAGGTGAGAGATAGATACATATACATCTACTGGAGCTACTAGTGGCATTCTGCTTTCTGCCCTCATCAAAAAGCTTCCCATCCATTCCATGTGTGGATAAGCAAGAATCTTAACATACTCATTTGAGAAAGATTCCTTTTTCAGTAGCATAGCAGGAAAAAAAAGTGAAAGACCTCTGAGTAGACAAAGGAAGAAGTCACTTTACATGTAACGCAGGCAAGGACAGGAGAAAGGGGCCCCTACTAACTCTTTTCCTGACCAATCAGCCCCATTGAAAATGATCACCTCAAGTCTACCTTTGCCTGTAACATTTCTTTCAAGCAGGCCGCAGATCACTCAAGCAGGGGAACCATAGTGGGAAGAGAAATACTAGTATGCCTCAAGCAAGCTATCCCATCAAGAAAAGAAACAATCCAAGCATTTGCAAATTAGAGCAACCCAAAAGCCAAAAGTTTAAATCTGGGAAATCTCAAACTTACTAATTCCTATTTTTTATACATACCGGTGCATTGTACATGCATTGTACTAGTAATACAATTTACTGTTAATAACTTTCAGTTGTACCTCTGCAATAAATTATACATGTTTATACATGTCTTTCCCTTAGTTTATCATATGCAGATATGTTTAATGTAATTATTTGTTACCATTCTACTACATAAGCAATATAACCATAATTTTTATAGCTGCATAGTATATATATATAATATATATAATACTATAATATATATATACAATATAACCATAATTTTTATAGCTCCATGTCCCTTAATTACTTCTCAACATTAGACGTTTAGTTTTAGCTTATTTAGGGTTGTGTTTATTGCCACTACGAATAAAGTCACAACACTCAACTATCACTTTTTCTTGGAATTTTTATTTGGATAAATTTGCAAAAATACCAAAACTTCTAGATCAATAAGTATAAACATGTTTTTCTTGAAATACTTGTACCTTATCACTTTCTAAAAGTATGGTGGTAATATATATGGTGTACTATTACAGCAGCCATGCCAACATTTAGCTTTATTATTATTTTTCTGAGAATCACTTATATATTTATTTTTATTTATTTTTATTTTTTTAAATAGAGGCATGTTTTATTTATTTATTTGTTTGTTTGTTTGTTTGTTTGTTTTGTTTATACATGCACTGGGTACAGTCAGAAGCGTGGGAGGGTGAGAGAATTCACCAGAGCCAGAGCGGGGAGCAGAGCAGGCAGAAGGACCGAAGTACACTGCTGAGGGGAGCAGCGGGCGGCAGGAGAGGTCTGCGCGCCATGTGGGACCCTCCTCCGGTGGCCGGGGAGCAGCTGGGGATTGAACCGGTGCCGCAGAGGCCGCGGGCAGCTTCGCAACCCAGCGCTCTACCGCTGCACCACCGGGGAGGCCCAGAATCACTTATATTTATCTTAGTGATTCTGTGTTCATGTAAAGTAAGTATTCACTACAGGGAATTATGAAAATACAGAAAATCGCCTGTACAACTAAAGACGACCTTACATGTATTTGTAGGAAAATGGATCAAGATAAATTCTTCGAACTTGCTTCCCCTCTCCCATTCATCAATATTCAAAACACTACACCAGATGTAGATGTCCCTTGTATATTACCTTCTGAGCATAAATTCCTATCCTAGAGATAAAACTTTAGAGCAAAGGGATAAAGACTTTAAATGCTTCTTTTTCCCCCCTCAGCTTTATTCTGGTACAACTGACAAAATCATAGAATATTTAAAGTATACAGTGTGGTGATCTGATATATGTATACATTGTGAAAGGACTCTCACCATCTAGTTAAGTAACACATTCCTCACTAAAAGCATTTAAATATACTTTTCCAATCAACTTCACCTGTATAAAATAAAATTGTGCCAATTTATTTTCCATAAGCAATGACCCACTCTCTAGCCTTCACATTTTTCCTTTACCAATTCAGCCATCATTATTTTCCATTTTTCCTAATCCAACAGTTTAATGCTAGTAACTGACGAGATGGCACTTTACCATGGACAGTGGAGGGTAAACTGATACTGATGGACCTTAGCACCCAGTTGAGCAACCAACACTGTGAGATGTCTTTGGGGACCAAGGGCTGTGTCCTAAGGAGGAAAAATATGAAATAGGAAAGGGCTAAGAGCTCTTAAGTGCAAAATACATCCTACCCAAGAGATTTAACTGCCTGACCTCTGGCCCTTATGGTAAAGACATCACTAAGGCTAGGGTTGGATGAAGAATAAAGAGTGGCTCCCCCACAACTTTCATCCTTCAATTCCCTGGGCCAAATTAGAGCAACCCAAGTGATAAGAAAGGAAGCTGTTTCCAGGAAAATATGGCAGTTCCATGGGAGGCAGAAGGTGAAACTGGGGAAAAGGGAAAGGTTAAACTTTGAAGCTACCCCACCCCCAAAATTCTTTCAGCAGAGGAAAAAACCAGAGTTCAGGTTCCTATCCTCCTCTCAAGTTTTGTATTACTAAAACCAAGGCAGCTCAGAGTCCCAAGGGAATAAAAGATGAGGAAACAGAAAAAGCTAACAAACATTAGGGAAAAACAAGCATCATGAATGACAATAGCAGAGTAAGCTGTAGCAGAAGCAGACTAATGGGACAAAAGAATTTAAACACATTCAAAGCTCCTCAGAAAGACAAAATGATACTGAAAAGATTTTTTAAAAAAAAACATTTATTTATATATTCATACAAGCACTGGGTACAGTCAGAAGCGTGGGAGGGTGAGAGAATTCGCCACATCGGGGAACAGAACAGGCAGACTGATGAAATACACTGCTGAGGGGAGCAGCAGGCACTGCAGGAGAGGTCTGCATGCCATGTGGGACCCTCTCTGGCGGCCAGGGATCGAACCGGCGCTGCAGAGGCTGCGGGCAGCTTCGCAGCCCAGCGCTCAACCACTGCACCACCAGGGGAGGCCTGTGAAAAGATGTTTTGAGCCAACTGAAGAAATATGGTATAATAAATATAATAGTTCAGGGCCTCCCTGGTGGTGCAGAGATTAAAGTCTCAGCGCTATCCAGCTATCACCAGCCACAGCCACATGAGCGATCTCCAGCTGGGGAGTTAACCCACAGGGAACAGCAGACTTCTGTCTTGCCCACTGTTCCCCTCAGCAGCATATTTCAGTAGATCCACCTGTTTTTGTTTTTTTTTAAGATTTATTTATTTATACAGGAACTGGGGTATAGGCCAGAGACATAGGAAGGTGAGAGAATTCACCAGAGACAGAGCGGGGAGCAGAACAGGCAGAAGAACCAAAAGCACTGCTGATGGGAGCAGCGGGTGAGACAGGAGAGGTCTGCTGCGTCATGTGGGTATCTCCCTGGCTGGCCGGGAATTGAACCTGCATTGCAGAGGCTGTGGACAGCTTCACAGCGTTGTACTCAACCCACTGCACCACTGGGAAGGCCCTAGATCCACCTGTTCTTCTCCCCACTCTGTCTTTGGTGCATTCTCTCACCCCCGGCACTTCTGGCCTACCCTCCAGCTCTTGTATGCATAAACAAACAAACAAACAAAATAATTCAAAGTAATTAAATGAATGAGTATAATAGCAGAAATAGATACACCTGAGATGATTTTTTTTTTCTGAGAAAGAATAGGGCTGCAGGTCAGAAGTACAGGGGTGAGAGGATTCAGAGACACAGTGGGGTGTATGGGTGAGACAAGAGACATCTGCAGTGCCATACATGGGTTAGCTCCCTGGCCAGGGATCCAACTCAGGCTGTAGAGGTGATAGCTAGATACAGCTGAGATTAATAAGGAAAAATTGGGTAGAGCTATCAGAATGCATCAGGAAAAGGATAAAAATGAAATGAATGGGAGAAAAGCTATGAATACAGAAGCTAATATATTAGCATTACAGGATATCCATTCTTACAGAAGTCCTAGAAGTTCAAAAATTCTAGAAGAAATTCTAAAAGATAACAGGAATACTGAAGGTTACCTACAAAACAAGGATTAGACTGACATCAGTTTTCTCAACACCATCAGAAGCATAATTGAGTAATAGCTCTAAAATGCTGAAAGTATTTTGAAACTAGAATTTCATATACAGATACAATGATCAATTAAACATGAAATTAAAACAAATATATGATAGCTGGATAGCGCTATATTTTCAGGAATAAAAAAAGATATTTTCAGAAAGTTTTCTCCACAAAAGTCCTCTTTGACAAAATTCTTGAAGAATGTATGCCAGCAAGAAGAGAAAATAATCTAGAAAGCAGTAAGAATTAAGTTGCAAAGGGTTAGTAAATAATCAGTAAAGTTTACTTTGTCTAAATAAGCGGTGATTGGACCTCCCTGGCGGCACAAAGGGTTGAGCGCAGCGCTGTGAAGCTGTCCGCAGCCTCTGCAGCGCAGGTTTGAATCCCGGCCGGCCAGAAAGCAACCCACAAGGCGCAGAAGATCTCTCCTATTTCGCATGCTGCTCCCCTCAGCAGTGTATTTCAATCTGCCTGTTCTGTTCCCCACTCTGTCTCTGGTGAATCCTCTCACCCCCCGCACCTATGGCCTGTACCCCAGTTCTTGTATGCATAAATAAATCTTTAAAAAAAAAAAATCCTAATTCTAAAAAAAAATAATAATAATAAAGCAGTGACTAAAACAAGAAATATCTATAAAATTCTGAACAGAATTCCAGTCAAAACTAAGGATAGGGAAGGGAGGAAAGTGGGGGAAGGACGGAAGCCAGAGGTGTTTAAAATATATTATGGGTTATCAGAGTCACAAGGAAAACACAGATTTTGAATAAGCTTTATATATTGACAGGGAAAAACAGTAAATATAAACTTTTAAGTGAGAAGTAGCCAACAGAAAAAAAAAAAAATAGAATGTAGAATTTTCAAATCAGGAACAGAAAACCCATCCATTCAACATGAGATAGAGATTTTTAAAAAGTACGTTACAGCAGAAATCATAGTTCTTGTTAGTATAACTTTTAGGTGGTCACATTTTTCCAGATTCCTGACAATTAAATGTGTCACACAAGCTATTCTGAATAAGCACAGTAGTAAGTATACATGGTCTGAGACAATTTCTAAGAAGCTCCTTCAATACCATCTGCCTGCACAACAATTCCTGCTGCCCAGAACCTGAATGTGTTGAATGAATGAACCTTAACTTTGAAATTTAAGGTAAAAATGGAGCAGAGGAATAGGAAGCTGCTATGTAAAAAGTATAAGAGAGTTTTAGTTCTGCAGATGAAGCATTTTGGAGACTGGTGGCACAACAATGTGAATGTACTTATCACTACTGAACTTAAAAAATGGCTAGGATTAAAAATGGAAATCCCACATAACCCAGCAATACCTCTATTAGGTATTTATACAAGTAATTTGAAAACCTTAATATGAATATTTTTCTACACCCTTATACACAGTGGCATTGTCCACAATTGCCAAGTCATGGAATCAATCTAAATGTTCTTCAAGAGACAAGTGGATAAAGAAATCATGGAATATTACACAGCTGAATACTCAATATTACACAGTTGAATACTCAGTATTACACAACTGGAAAAAAAAAGATGAAATAGTGGCATCTGGACAAAATGGCTAGACCTTGAGGTGATTTTATGAAGAGAAATAAATCAAAAAGTGAAACACAGGTATCAGATGGCTTCACTCATCTACAGAATATAAATAACCAAAATAACATACACAGGCAAAACACAGTAGAAATATATCTTGAACTCAGTTAAAGAGTATAATGGTTGGGCCTCCACGGTGGCCTAGCAGTTAAGTCTCAGCGCTATCACTGCTAAGGCCTGAGGTTGATCCCAGCCAGGGAGTTAACCTGTATATGGGGCAGCAGACCTCTCCTCTCTCTTGCCTGCTGCTCTCCTCAGCAGTGTATTTCAGTAGATCTGCCTGTTCTGCTCCCCACTCTCCCCGGTGAATCCTTTCACGCACACCCCCACACCTCTGGCTCACATCCCAGTTCTTGTATGCACAAATAAATAAATCTTAAAAAAAAAAAAAAATATATATATATATATACACACACACATGACAAAGACTCATCAACTCCACACCTAGAAATATATCCACATACTGATTAAGAATGTTCACACTGGGCCTCCCCGGTGGCGCAGCGGTTGAGCGCTGGGTTGCGAAGCTGCCGGCGACCTCTGTGGCGCCGGTTCGATTCCAGGCTGCTCCCCGGCCACCGGAGGAGGGTCCCACATGGCGCGCAGACGTCTCCTGCCGCCCGCTGCTCTCCTCAGCAGTGTACTTCGGTCCTTCTGCCTGCTCTGCTCCCCGCTCTGGCTCTGGTGAATTCTCTCACCCTCCCGCGTTTCTGACTATACCCAGTGCTTGTATAAGCAAAACAAAACAAAACAAAACAAAAAAATAAAGCCTCTATAAAAAAAAAAAAAAAAAGAATGTTCACACTATTCCTATTGCCATAAACTGGGAACAACCAAGAACATCAAACTGTAGAAGAATGAGAAAAATTATACTATAGTTCTATAAAGACATTCCATATAGCAATGAGAGGAAACAAACAGCTCCGAAGACAACATGCATAAATTTTACAGGGATGAATTTATAAACATAATGCTGAGCAACATAAGATACACAAAATAGATACATTATGATGCTGTTTACATAAAGCTAACAGTGTTTACAAATGACTAATAAGTGCTAAGAAAAACAAAAGTAGGAGAGATTATGTCTAGAGGGAGACAGGGGGATGTTGGGAAGAGTTGCACAGAGGGCTCTGGGGGAGTGGCAATGCTCTACCTTTTTTTATGGGGAGGTTTGCAAGGGTATTAGTTTTATTTTTTTTTAAAAGATTTATTTATTTATACAAGCACTGGGTATAGTCAGAAGCACAGGAGGGTGAGAGGATTCACCAGAACCAGAGCCAGAGCGGGGAAGCAGAACAAGCAGAAGGACCGAAGTACACTGCTGAGGGGAGCAGCAGGCATGGCAGGAGAGGTCTGCACGCCATGTGGGACCCTCGCCTGTTGGCCGGAGATCAAACTGGCACTGCAGAGGCTGTGGACAACTTCGCAGCCCAGCGCTCAACCGCTGCACCACCGGGGAGGCCGGGTATTAGTTTTATATTAGATATACTATATATTTATGTTTTATATACTTTTATTTGTTTTATATTTTATATTCTTTTTTAAAAAAAGATTTAGTTATTTATGCATACAAGAACTGAGGTACAGGCCAGAGGTGTGGGGGGGGTGTGTGTGAGAGGATTCACCAGAGACAGAGTGAGGAACAGAACAGGCAGACTGACTGAAATACACTGCTGAGGGGGGCAGCGGGCCATCAGGAGAGGTCTGCTGTGCCATGTGGGTAGCTCCCTGGCCAGGGATTGAACTTGTGCTGCAGTGGCTGCAGCAAGCTTCATAGGTTGCGTCCTAACCCCTTGTGCCACCAGGGAGGCCCTATATTTTATATTCTTAAAAACAATTCAAAAAAAGGATTTCCCTGGTTGTGCAGGGGTTAAAGTCTCAGCACTATCAGCTGTTACCAGCCACAGCAGCATGAATTCAATCCCCAGCCAGGGAGCTGACCCACATGGCGCAGTAGACCTCTCCTGTCTTGCCAGCTGTTCCCCTTAGCAGTGTATTTCAGTAGATCTGCCTGTTCTGCTCCCCACTGTCTCTGGTGAATCCTCTAACACACATCCACCCCCACCCCTGCCTACCCCAGTTCTTGTATGCATAAATAAATAAAATAAATTTTCAAAAAAATTTAGGAAAAAGTCAGAGACAATCTTGTTGTTTATAACCTAGGGATGTATATAGATAAATGTAGTGGCCACTGCATATAAACAGAATATAATGCAAAAGTCAAAGGTAATAACTATTCACAATTACAGAAACATGAAGAATTCTCAAAAACAAAAGAATAGAGGGTCACAGTAATAGGTTTATTGCACAATTCTATAAACATATAATTTTTTTTTAACTGCACTTGAACCAATACTATGTTTGGTTTTTTTTTTCCAAGAATACACAGGTGTCAAATAAACCCATAAAAGAGTAATTGATAAAGGGCCTCCCTGGTGGTACAAGGGGTTAAGACACAACCTGTGAAGCTGTCTGCAGCCTCTCCAGCGTGAGTTCAATTCCCTGGCCAGCCAGGGAGCAGTTACCCACATGGCACAGCAGACCTCTCCTGACTCGCCCGCTGCTCCCCTCAGCAGTGTACTTCGGTCAATCTGCCTGTTCTGTCTCTGGTGAAGCCTCTCACCCCTAAACCTCTGGCTTGAAACCCAGTTCTTGTACCCATAAATAAATAAATCTTTAAAAAAAAAGAAATTGTCTTATATAAAAAAGAGTAATTGATAAAGGCATATACATATTAAACACAATACACTACAGTGGGTAGCTAACTAAAAAAAAGCAGGAATCAGGGCCTCCCTGGTGGTGCAAGGGGTTAAATCTCAGCACAATTAAGCTATTGCCAGCCACTGCAGCACAAGTTCGAGCCGGGCCAGGGAGCTAACCCACATGGCACAGCAGACCTCTCCTGTTTGCCTGCTGCTCCCCTCAGTAGTGTATTTCAGTCAATCCACCTGTTCTGCTCCCTACTCTATCTCTGGTGAATCCTCTCATCCCCCAACTCCCCGCACCTCTGGCCTACACCCCAGTTCTTGTATGCATGAACAAATAAATCTTAAAAAAAAAAAAAAATGCAGCAATCAGCAAATTTCTTTCTTTTAAGGCCCTTTAGGGCCAGATAATATTTTAGGCTCTGTGGACCATTAGGTCTTATGGCCACTACCCAACTCTGCCATTACAACTCAAAAGCTGACACAGGCAACAAGGAAACCAAATGGGCACTGCAGTATTCCAATAAAACTATGCTGACAACCACAAGGAATAGACCTGGGCTGTAGCTTGCCAGGTCCTGGAAAACAGGAATGGGTTAAGGAAAGGGAATGGGGTGTGAGGGGGTGGGGGAATAATAAAGAAAGAGGATTTGCATTAACCAAAGAAAGCAGGTGCTTTTAATTACTTTCAATTCAATTCTGATGAAATAAATCCTTTTTAATTAAGAAGATGATGAATGAAGGGAGGGAAGGAAGAAAAGGGTGCCTTTTGTTTTGATTTTCTTCTACTTACCTCCTTGCTGTCTGTCACAGGAACCCACTTAAATATCCTAAGGGATGTGTCACCTACAGTCACCCACTTTTTCTCCCTAAAAGAAAAAAACACTTTTTAGAACTGATAAAACAATACATTTTCTGTGTTTTTTTTTTAAGATTTATTTATTTATGCATACAAGAACTGGGGTACAGGCCAGAGGTGTGGCGGTGAGAGGATTCACCAGAGACAGAGTGGGGAACAGAACAGGCAGATTGACTGAAATACACTGCTGAGGGGAGCAGCAGGTGAGTCAGGAGAGGTCTGCTGCACCATGTGGGTAGCTCCCTGGCCAGGGATTGAACTCATGCTTCAGTGGCTGCGGCGAGCTTCATAGGTTGCATCTTAACCCCCTGTGCCACCAACGAGGCCCCACATTTTCTATTCTTTTTTTTTTGAAGCTGTTTTGTTTATTTTTTAAATTTATTTATTTATTTATTTATACAAGAACCAGGGTACAGGCCAGATGCTCGGGAGGGTGAGAGCATTCACCAGAGACAGAGCGGGAAACAGGCAGACTGACAAAATACACTTCTGAGGGGAGCAGCGGGCAAGACAGGAGAGGTCTGCCGTACCACGTGGGACCCTTGCCGGCCGGTGGGGATAGAACCAGCGCTGCAGAGGCTGCGAATAGCTTCACAGCATGGCGCTCAACCGCCTGCGCCACCAGGGGAGGCCCACATTTTCTGCTCTTAACTTTTGCTTTTCTACTTTTCAGCATATCACTCCTTAAGTCTTAAATTGACTTCTAAACTTCTCCAACAAATTGCCTTGTAGCTTTCAGTGCAAAATCATACTGAAAGTAATCATCCCTTCCTCAAAGTATTCACTATGAAATTCCTTTGGCTCTGAACCCTCTCCTTGCCATCCGTCCTCATGTATAGTGTACCAAAGCCCTTTTTTCTCACAGACTATACCAATAGAATGCTAGCACATTTTCAAACCCAGATATTTACCTAACACCATTTTTTTATTTTCCAAAAATTTAGTTCAGGAGATACAGGATATATAAAGATATGTCCCTACCCTGGAGCTCATAGGAATGAAAAATAAGGAGATGATTTTAACACTTGAAAGTAGCAAGGAAGTTAAGACAACTGAAAGAGTAAGGCTGGATACCTGATTGAGGGGAGGACTCTTGTAGAACTCTGGGTTGAAAACTACTCCATTAAAGAATAGTAACAGAAGCCAAGACAGGATGCTCCCTGATAATAGAAGGGCACATCACACTGGCTTCTGAAAGAGGTGAGACAAAGCCATGAAAGAACTGCTTTAATATTTACTTTCCATAGGAAGTAACTTTTGAGATAAGCCTTTAAAAAGTCCCCTACCCAGACCCCTTCTCACCCACCTCCCCTCAGGCATGTACCTGGGAAAGCCAAGTGACTAAGCAAATACAAGGACAAGCATAGGCAGGGAACCTACCTTATGACTTAAGGGTTTCAAGTCCAAATCTGAGGTTACAAAAAAGCAAAAATCTGATAATACTGTTCAGCAAACGAGTAAAGTATCTATGATGTAACAAAAAGAATGAACTAAAAAGATAAAAATTGGACTTCATTCCTGGGCCAGTCACTCTACTTTCTGATTTAACAAAAAATATTTAACATACATGACCCTGAGCTAGGCTCTGGGCACATAAAGGACATGATGCAGCCTCTAACCTCACAGATCAGGTATTCCAGTTGGAGACAGACATCAAACAACTCAACTCACAATTAGTTACTTAATCATTAGGTTTAACTATATCAAATTACCATTTTTGTCCTTAAAAGGCTAAATTAGGTAATCTGTTTATGATTCAACCTAATACAACTGTGGCAAGTTCTATGAAAGGGACCTGATCTAGACTGTGAATCTTGACAGGTGTCATTGAGCAAACAATTAAAAAAAAATTATTTATTTATGCATATAAGAGCTGGGGTGTAGGTCAGAGGTGGAGGTTGGGGAGGGAGGTGAGAGTATTCACCAGAGACAGAGTGCAGAGTACAACAGACAGATCTACTGATATACACCGCTGGGGGAGCAGCAAGCAAGACAGAGAGGTCTGCTGCGCCTTATGGGTCAGCTCCTGGCCTGCAGATCAAATTCTGTGCTGCAGTGCTCAGCTTCATAGTGCTGAGACTCAACCCCTGAGGAAACAATTTTTTTTTTTTTTTAATAGAGGCACTTTTATTTGTTTGTTTGTTTTGTTTACATGCACTGGGTACAGTCAGAAGCATGGGAGGGTGAGAGAATTCACCAGAGCCAGAGCGGGGAGCAGAGCAGGCAGAAGGAGCTGCTGAGGGAGCACAGGAGAGGTCTGCGCGCCATGTGGGTTCCTCTGGTGGCCGGGGAGCAGCCGGGGATCGAACCGGCGCCCAAAGGAAACATTTTTGAGTTGAGCTCAGAGCAGAGGGAGAGGAAGGATGCCAGGCAGCAGGAACAAAAGTGTGGTTCCAGTGGAAGGAGGGCCAGCAACCTGGGAAAGGCTATGTGTTGAGTCAGGCAGGTGAGGGTGGAAAGATCTTTGGTCTTTATGCTAAAAGCAAGAAAGGGTGATGAAAGCATTGTTTTCTAAGCAAGAGAGTGCAAATAGTAAGATTTACACATAAGAACTATGAAATCATTCAGTGCAGCCTGAGGAACTAATTGGGGAATGAGCAAAAGCTAACAGCAGGTAAATCCTTAAATCCTAGGAAGGTTGGCATGGAGTTGTAGGTGAGAGGCAGGTTATATGGTCCAGGTTGCTGGTGGCAGAAGAGAAGGCCAGAAGAGAAAATGTGTTGATTCTTGTTTCACAAAAAATACAGGCTTCTATTTGGAGGGGATAATAAAGAAAGAAAGAAATTATTTAACTCATATACATGAAGCTCTTGAATACTGAGGTAAGGAACCTGGTCTTGTGGGGTAAAGACACGAAAAGTCCAAAGACACGATGGGGTGAAAAGCCTGAAATTCTCAATTAGCGGCCATCGGCTAGAGGAAAGACTCAAAATGCTGGTCAATAGTTATAAATACAAGAAAATGTGACAATGCCACGATTGAAGGAACGCCACACGAGCCGTTCCTAAACCTGGGGTGTGGAGGGGGAACGGCGCGGGAGGGGGTAGGTCTCAATTCCTCTGCTAACAGATCAAGCGTGAGGGTCAGCATCAGGCAGTGAGAGGCATCTGGACTCCCGTTCGCAGGCCAGCTCCCTGGCAGGTGGATACCCAGCAGCTCTCACCAAACTTGGACGAGGTAAAACGCAGAGCGCTCAGCCTGGCCGACGGTCAACACCCAGAGATAGCCGGGTACACGACAATTCAGAAGGCCAAGAAGCCCCGAGGCGAGCGGGCGAGCCGAGCAAGGCCCCCCGGGCCCGGCCGGCAGCGAGCCCCGCCACGGGCAGGTGGGCGGGCCGCCAAGCCGGGCGGCACGCTGATTGGTCGCGGCCCGCGCGCCCTCTGACCCCACGCCGACGAGAGCGGCGCCCTCCTCCCGCCTTCTCCAGCTCCCCCCTCCCCCAGCGCCGGCCGGCCGGCTCCCACCCCGCCCGCCAGTCCGGCGCTCCGCGGGGCCTGCGCTGGCCATCCCCGTTAGCACCCTCAGGCCCGGCCCCTCACCATTTCCGCACTTTCTCGATGGCCGCCATCACCTTCTTGATGTCATCCTTGGCCCGGCTGCGGGTCTCGGCGCGGACCGACCGGCCCGACATGGCGGCGGCGGGAGCGGCGGGGGCCGGGGCACTGCTCCCAAGACACGGGGAATCGCGCGCCTCACGCGCCGCCGCCCGCCCGCTGCAGTAGCGTCACCGCGCCCGTCGCCCCCTCCGTGCGCGCGTGCGCGAGAAAGCGCGCGCACCCGCCCGCCCCTTGGGGCGCGAGGCCTCAGTGCGCTTGCGCGCCCCGCCCCGGGCGTCCGTCCCCGGGTGCCCCGGGTGTCGCCTTGGCCCCCAAGCAGGCCGGGTACGCGGCGAGCAGGTGGCACGTGCTGCAGGCAGTGCGAGGTGCGAGGCGTTGCCTGTGTGGTTCCTGGCTCTCTCCCAGGAAACTGAAGGGTTAGCACCTTCTTCCTCTGACCAGGACTGCTGAGTGCCTTTATCTTAAGGCCTTGGCCCAAATGGGACCAAATTCTGACCCTCTGTCATGCTGCCTTTCCTGGCCTGTGCCCTACTCCCAGATATAAAGCTGTGCTCCAACCAAGGAGGAGTTCACACCTTTCTCCAGAAGCCTTCCAACCTTTGCACACACTTGTTCTCCACCTGGAATTCTCTTGCCTTGATGAACTAACTCTTCCAACATCCATCCAGTTCGAACTCACTTGAAAAAGTCTTCCCAGGATGTCCTAGTGTTCCACTTGTGTTTACACTAAGCACTACATTATTGTCTCATTTGATTAAACTGTTGATTAAATGATGCCTGTTTTAGGAAAGATTCTGTGCTAAGTGCTGAGGACAAAACCTAGGTATTTGCTTTCAAAGAGCTTCCAGTTTAGCACACCTGTCCAGGATACAGGCATGTAAAATGCCATTTGATAAATGCTAGGCTGAGGGAAGTACAGGTGTTATGACAACCCTAATCTAGATGAGGGGTGTCCAGTGGCTTCTGGTGGTGGAGAGGAAAATCTTAAAGCTGGCCTCTGAAAAAAGAACAGGTGCTATACTGCAAGCCTTACCATGATCACAGACATTATAAATGTACAATAAGGGTTCAGGTGAATGTTGAATCCAGTGCAGCTCTCTTGCTCTCTGGCCCTTCCCAGCCCACCCCTTCTATACCTCCTAGGCAGGCATTTATGCCTGCAATATGCAGGGAGGGTCCTACAGCAGTGGCTTCAGGAGACTTTGCTTTGACTGATAGTGGCTGCTGCTCTCACCTTTAGAGAAACTTCCTTCTGTATGCCCCCGGAGAAATGCCTAGTGAATCCTAAAGGTGACAGCCTCCAACTCTTAACTGTTCAGCCTTTCATGACCCACCAGCATTATGGCTTGATTAGCACGTGTCATGAGCAGCCCAGAAGTAGCATCTGTCTGACTTAAGAGCTGAACCAGCTTGTGGAGGGAAGGGATGATTATAGAAATAATGGGATCAAAGGTGACACATCTGTTTCTCAAACCCAATTCATTCGAAATAGCTCAGCCCAAGCACTGCCTGAGCACCTGCTATATGCCCTACAGCACTAGACACTAGGTGACTCAAAGATGAATAAGACATGCACTCTGCCTTCAAGGTAAGGATGAGGAAAGCAATAGAAAAATGCTAGACAAAATGTGGTATGTGTCCTGGAAGAAGCCAGCTCTCTAGATGTCTCCAGTTCTGTTTATAGGCGTCCTGGTCTTGGGTACATGGTCCAAACTTAGCAGTTATGTCTAATTTCCTCTTTCATCCTTGTCCAAATCCCAACCAGTCTCCCATCTGAGGTTTCTTGCTTATAACTTCGTCTACTCCACAGACCACTGTTTCTCCCAGCTGTACTAGCCGCTTGCACCTAATTTTTCCTCCAGTTCACTGTGCCAGTTGGTCACCTTCCTCGTGCCATCACCTGCTCTAGTGTCCCATTTCCTGACAAGAATTTGTTCACCTAGCCTTACATTCCCTACATTATCTCCAGTGGGGCTCGCTCTGTGTAAGAGAGCCATTGCAGCGAGTGCTTACCAACTATTCCCAGCACAGATTCCCTCTGTTAACATTGTTTTCTTAAAAAACAAACAAAAAAATCCATGCCTTGATAATTTCGTGGTGAGAGACTCAGGCTAGATGCTGAGAGGGTTGAGGAGATGAGCCAGCCCAGACCTCTGCCTTGGGCAAATTGCATTCGAGGCAGTGGCTTCCCCTGTCACTCAGAGTAAAAGTGACAGTGGTCTACAATGTCCCACCTGTCCCTGCATGCCCCAATAATTCTTTCACCTCATCTCCTGCAATTCTTCCCTTCGCTGTTTCTGCTCCATCTAACCTCTTTGCTTATCTGAAAATACCCAATCAAACTCCTGCCTTCGCACCACAGGTCCCTCTACTTGGAATGTCTCCCCACCTCCACATATCTGAATGGGTGACTTTCACCTCCTTTGTGTCTATGCTTAAATATCTTGCTTACCATGTAGCCCTCCAGGCTGCCTACCTAAGACTGTAATATCTGTCCACACACACACACACACTGTACCTCCCCTTCCCCAACTTATTCGTCTTCAAAACATTCATCTCCTTTTGAAATACTATTTTCCTTATCTATCTTGCTTATTATCTATCATCCTTTCAATAGCTCCATGAAGGTAGCAACATGGTCCATTTTGTTCTGATCACTGATTTGCGCTGGCACCTAGAACAGAGCCTGACAGTAGCTGATCATTAAGAATTCGTTGAGTGAGGCATATGAAAAAATGTTCAACATCACTTGTCATCAGGGAAATGCAAATCAAAACCACCATGAGATACCATCTTACACCAGTGAGAATGGCACATATTAAAAAAACTAGCAACAACAAATGTTGGCGAGAATGTGGAGAAAAAGGAACTCTCCTGCACTGCTGGTGGGAGTGCAAACTGGTCCAACCACTATGGAGAGCTGTGTGGAGATTTCTGGACCTACTAAACATAGAGCTTCCATAGGATCCAGCAATTCCACTCCTAGGTATTTACCCAAAGGACACAGAAACATCAATTCCAAAGAACACCTGCACCCCTATGTTTATAGCAGCACTATTTACAATAGCTAAGCTTTGGAAACAGCCCAAATGCCCAAAAATAGATGACTGGATCAAGAAGATGTGGTACATATACACCATGGAATATTACTCAGCATTCAAAAAAGATAAACACATGCAATTTGCAGCAACATGGATGGCGCTGGAAGGGATCATGCTCAGCGAAATAAGTCAGAAAGAAAAAGAAAAATACCGGATGGTCTCACTTATAGCAGGAATCTAGAAAACTTAAATAAGGGACCAGGAAAATGAATAAGAAAGTGAAAATCAAAATCAACAAAAAACTATGAACCAGAGACACTCTATGGGGGGTGGGGGGTAGGGAGGGGAGGGATTGGGGTCAAAATAAGGGGGTTGCAATTGTATGGGGAATATAAAAATAAAATTTATTAAAATTAAAAAAAAAAGAATTTGTTGAGTGAATATTCAAATACTCACCCTCAACTTCCCCCTTTCACGCGATCTCCCCAGATCATTCCAAGTCAGAGAAAGGAATCCTCTCTCTACTGGACACCCACAGGCCCCTGAACTACAGTGATTTCCAGGGCAGGCAGGCAGAAGCTACCCTGAAGACCATGACAGGTAGATGAACTCAGGTGTTCCTGAAGATCACATGCTTAATAACACTTTGAAGTTTTTTCACTTGTTCATTTGCTTTTTACTATCTGCTATCCCCTGAAAGTCAGTCCGTGAGGGAAGGGGCCCTCTAGCTCCTCATTAGGGCCCACCATCAGCTGCTTTCTTCCTCTCTGCCCTGTCCATGTTACCTGTAAATCACCCACTTTCTTTATCACAGTGATTAAGCTCCAGCATTCAGTCCTTTCCCAACCAGCCCACACGGCCCGGGCCCAGAGAACCTTTGAGAACCACACTCTTCTCAAATCCTTACAGTAGCTCCCCATTACCTAAATTCAAAGTCACGCCATAGCATTACAGGTCACTCAGGGCCCCGAGTTTGACCCTAGTCACAGAGGAAAGAAGGCTGGGAGAGAGAAACCTAGGCTGACGACCCCAGCTCAGCCATTTCCTGGCTTTGCACAGGTCACCTAGCTACTCTGAAGCCCAGTTTTGTTTTGTTTTTCTGTGCGGTGGCTCTGGACTTTAAGGGGTTGTGTTGAGGCTCTAGGGAAGCAGGGCGTAGACAAGCTTTGTAAACTATAAAAGCCTTGCAGACAAAAACAATCTTTTTGGCATCCTGTGCCACTGCTCATGTCTGTGCCCTTGGCTGCAGCTGAATAGCACCTGTTCCCAACCCCCTGAGGAGCTCAACACTTCCACCTCTTCTATGACTCATGATGACTCTTTGACTCAGATGCCTCTTCCCTGAGGAATGCCATTTCCTCTCCTAACCCTCTCACCATCCTCCTCTTGAAATACCCATCTTTCAAGACTCAACCTCCTCCATGATTATCCCGAAGGCATGCCATCTCACACCTAGACCCCCCAGTGTTGAGTTCATCTCTTTCAACACTTCCATCTTACCTCCCCAAAAGCTGAGATCCTGAGATTCCATGGAGTACAGGACCTGTCTGAGAAACCTGGTAGTTCCCAGAGGTCTAGCCAAGAACCAACCCTGTGTGTATAGTAGCTATGAAAATCTGCTTGAAAAGAAACCTGGAGGAGTAAGAGCCTGAATTCTGCTGAAGATTCCTGTCTTTCCTCCTTCTTGGATTGTGTTCAAAGCTCTGTCAAGAGAGAGACAGGACAGGATTAGGTCAGCCTTCTTTCTGACAGAGCAGCTGTGGAAAATTTACTCCGTGAGGTCTGAGAGGCCCAAGGAACAGTCCTGAGGAGTAAGGAAATCTATAGGTGGTTACAAAGAACTACTTCTGCCTTATTCAGCAGCAAGACTGGAATTATTTGAAAAGATGCTGTATGGGCTCAAAATGGGAATGCTGCAAAGACCCCTTCGTCATCTTATATAGGTAGTTATAAGTTGGGCATCTGGATGCTTTTAACTGCCCAGCATACCTATTTCTGTAACAAAACTTCTTTTTTTTTAATATTTTATTTTATATAATTCTTACATCATCTTTCATTTTTGCACAATGTATGCATTTTCATTTTGGTTATATTCCCCATACAATTGCACCCCCACCCCTTATTTTGACCCTAGTCCTTCCT